GGCATGCTAAGGAGGTGGCCGGCAACCTCCACCGCTGCAGGTACTGAACGGCACCTGCTGACTGAAGGACAGCTTGTATTTCATCCTCGGCCGTCGGTATAATCCGCTGAGGACCGCGCCTACGTCCGCCTGCATTCGGTGAGGATCTAGATATAAAACAGTAGGAGTTTACGATACTGCTGGTGTCAACTTATATATATCCCCTACCCCTCTTTACCCTTATGTGTGCCTAGATATATCACGGTACACCTAACAAAGACGTTTAGTTGAATTACCGGTAGCTTATAGATAGTAGACCATTGTGCGCTCTGTGCTGACTATTCAGACATACCGTGACTTTCTCCGCATTTTCTCACAGCTTATACCCACCGGGCAATATGCTCTGCGGTTAAATTCAAGATTGAAAGGTTTCCATAGGTCTGCAAACTGCTCCCACCATAGATACTTACAAATCTCGTAAAACAGCGAACTTACGCACAGCGCCCGCCAAGTTCGGGAGTTTGCCGACTTGCTGTAGGTTGTTGCGGTGGCGCTGGAGTACGTCCGGTTATCCTAAACATTTTTCGCGTTATGCGTATTAAACGGTGCATTCGGTGGAGATCACCGATATAAGAAATAGGGGGGGGGGGTTAGGAGGGGGTTAGTAAGGGGCTGGGGAGTGACGCAAATATCATAAGCAGTTTATTCAATCACTCATACCCAACCGCAGTACATCGATGTCCCTTCGCGTCCCGCTTGCGCATCGTCTGCTTCTCGTCCATCTGCTGCACACCACATCAAGGGTGGCGCCAACGATCCCATTGGTTAACCGCTTGGCGGTTCAGTTTTACTCGCCCCGGCCGCCAATCCCATCACGTCCCCGGCCAACCCACCTGTGATTGAGTATTGCCTAACGTACTCCCTATTTGCACGCCATCCTACGGTATTTTTCACTTCATTAAAACAAATAATTATTTCTCTGCGATTTCCAACATTTTTTCAACATCCAGCCGTCAATCCAGTGCCCTCTGCTGTTTACCCCGCCCGTTCTTCCCATCAAAACCGCCATCCCGTTGCACACGACCAACCTAGAGATATTTTCTCACGGTGGCCACCTGTTTGGCCTCTGCCGGCCTTGTGATTAAGTGGAGTAACAGCGTTACCTTCCAAGAATAACGGCGAGTCCTTGTAGTTTCTAACTGACCTTCTGAGGGTCACCCTGGCTTTTCCAACTTTAGTGTTCGATGATTTGGCAGGTTTAGTTACTATAGCAGGTAATTAAACCTGACTTATTTTAATGCATTAACGTCGACCCCCACGTTATCCACCGGAACCGATTTGTCTGGAGTTTCCCCTGGAATCATAACTCGCTTCGTCTTCCTGACCGGCTTCGAGTTTTCTGCGCCAATGCCTTTATTAGTAAGATGTTCGTCGGTTATCGATCGGAAATTTGACGGATTATTTAGTAATTCTATTTTACTGTGCTTCAGAATAGCCATAATGATGTCCGTCAGTAGGCTCTGCTTCTCCTCTAGCGTCTGGGCTCGCTTTTCAAGTTCCTCACAGCCGACACAGCGACCGACAAGCGC